TCCAAGGTATCGTCGTTATATTGTGTGCCTCGTATAAATACGTGGCGAGTTATCTGAATAATTATTGGCTGCATCTCTCTGTTGCTAAAAGTAATCTATTAGAAAATGGAAGAATTGTTCTAGGGTAAAATTTATTTCTTGAATTTTGTCGCGACATAGATAGGATGATCAAAAATATTTGTATAAACTTGGGAGTGAGTTTTTCACACTTGGAGAAAAAATATCATAGTCTGGAAATGCCTGGTTTATGAATTATAATCGAAAGATTCAACGCAATCGTCCTGAGGTCTTTAAAGAGCGCAACAGTTCATGATCCAAAGTGTCCATGCATTGAATAAAATAGAGGACATTCTGAATATTTGTTGTTAAGTGTTCAGAAATATTTGTACAAACTTGGTGGTGAGTTTTTCATACTTGGAGAAAAAATATCATAGTCTAAAAGTGCCTGGTTTATGAATTATAATTAAAAGATTCAACGTTCGGATATCGCAATCTTGAGGTCTTTAAAGAGCGCAACAGTTTATGATCCAAAGTGTCGATGCATTGAATAAAATAGAGGACATTATGAATATTTGTTGTTAATTGCTCAGAAATATTTGTACAAACTTGAGTTTTCCATACTTGGAGAAAAAATATCATAGTCTAAAAGTGCCTGGTTTATGAATTATAATTAAAAGATTCAACGTTTGGATATCGCAATCTTGAGGTCTTTAAAGAGCGCAACAGTTCATGATCCAAAGTGTCGATGCATTGAATAAAATAGAGGACATTCTGAATATTTGTTACTAACTATGAATAGATAAGCAATTGAACTGAAGATTCATTACATTATTATATCAATGTAAATGTATTCTGTCAGTTTGAAGTAAACATGACATTTGTGTTTTCGTCGTTGAATGTAATCTTTTGTAGAGGGCTACAGTAATGATAATTAGGCAATTGATTGGATCGACAAGTTGAATCTCAAGTGTTAAATGTCATCTCTCGATATATTATAACTCATAATTCAGGCACTTCCGGACATTTTTCTTCCTCAAGTGTAAAGAAGAACTCACTCCCAAAGTTTACACAAGTATTTCTGAATCCTACATGAGACCGTTCAAAGCAGACTAAAGCAGAACGATCGAGTTCACATTTCTGCGTGATTCCCGGAGAGAAGTTGATTCGCGGAAGAGACACAGGCAGAGAAGACAGAGGGGGAGGGGGAGGGGGAGGGGGAGGAGAAGAGACAGGGAATTAGATTCCACGGCGGAGAGAAATTGACAATGGGTATCCCAGAGACTCTCGATGACACACAATGGCAACTCGATACTTGGTTTACCGGCTGGAGAAAGATCCGGCTTTTCATTCTCCCGGAGGGGGAGGGGGGGGGAGAGGGAGAACGAAACGCTTGGCGGCGATGGTCGACCTTTTGCCTCCGCTCCTCGTCCAAAGAGGAGCGTTTCATTGCCCGATCCGCCGTGTAATGGCGGTCCCTTTTTGTGCGTCGCTTTTGAAAAAGACCTCGTGTCCGCGACACGAAGGAAACTGTCTCGCGGTACCAAGTATCCATTACCTCACGTTTCTACGCGAAATTACTCCCTTTCTCCCTCTCTCGGTCCACCAAAGATTCCTCTCCTCTGCCTCTGCCCCCCCTTTAGAAGAATCCCCGAAGATCCTCGTGCATCGCAGGAAGCGGAAGCGGGCGTATTCGGGAAACGCGTGTTTCTTCCGAAGCGAGGAACAATCGGGGAGCTCGTGGGAAGGGACCTCCTCATCCTCCCGAGATGCACGAGCGACAGCGACTCCCCTGCCCCCCCCTTTCCATCCCCCCCTCGCTCCCGCGTGGGTCTTCGGCGTGTCTGGCATATTCGTAGATCTTGATTTCCAGCTGGCGCGATCTCTCTTCTCCCGAGAGAGCTAATCGCGATAAGGCCGAGGGAAAAGAGGGGCTCCCCCTCGGGAGAGCGTGTGCCGCGCCGAGGGAGGGGAAGGGGGGGTGAACTCGGGTGAAAGAGGATTCATTTGCGGCGCTAATTGGCTCGCGATTTCTCTGCACGAGCGGGCCTCGAGCCGCCAACGGACATTCGTCACGTGTGCTCCCCTTGCCCCCCTTCGTCATAACCCCCGCCCCCCCAGTGTCACAGTGGGCTTTCTGTCTTTTGCCAGTTCTTTCGCCCAACCCCCCCCCCCTCCTCGTCGCCGGAAACAAGGCGACGCACTGTGCGGTATCCCGGTACGAATTTACGCAGCTTTTTCTCTCCATCTCTCATCTCGCTGTCTCCCCCTGCCCCCCTCTTATCGCCCGTTTAATCTCGTCGCGATAAAGACCGAGCTCTTGGCGAGATCGGAAGACGATCGTGAATTATCACGTTGACGTTTAACGCAATCAACACGCGTCTCGTTCCTCCGATCGATCTACAGGGAGGATAATAAGTTAGAGAAATTTTTTAAAAATAGAAAATGAATTTTGAAATTTGTTTCTACGTTTCATTCAATAATATGACTTTTTCGAAACAAATTGAATCTTTTCGATAAATCAATAAAGATAATATATATTAAGCGTTTTCTGGAAAACGAATTAAATATTTCTAATAATCAATAAAAATAATATAAAGTTTTTTTTTCAATAAAAATAATATAAAACTTTTTTGAAAGAAATTAAATAAATTTTTAACGAATTGATAAAAATCCAGGAAACGTCATCTTTTGCAAAGCTGTAACGATAATAATTCTCTTTGGAAATCGGGCGGCCCGTTTATCGGCGATGGAAACGAAAACAACGGTACGAGCGGACGGCACGCGACGTTTCATCTCGTGAATGCGTTAATTTCGCTGAATTCCTCCGCTAGAAGACCGTCGCGACGCGTGTCTCGTCTATTAAGGTCACCGCCCACACGCTCTCGCTCCGTTTTTCTCGGTCGTCTTTGAGATTTCTGTCCCGCGGAAGCAGCAACGTCGACGCGGGGGAGGTGAAGCATTCGACGTCCGACGAAAAAAAAGAGAGAGATACGCGAAATTCTTTCTCTTTGTTCTTCCACTCCCTCGCGCCTCTCCCTTCCTCACTCTTTCTCGATCACGTTTGTCGTGTCCCCTGGTTCCGGCGCTTCCGGCGCTTCCGGTGTCACACGCCGTTGAGCACGCTCCACCCTCTCCCTCTTGTACGTGTGTAAGGACCACGTCCGGCAAACCAGAAAGCATCCTAATTGTTGGTACAACACTGGGGGTCTCTGTCTGTGACAACGACGGTGCCCCTTTATTGTCGGGAGACCTTTGTACGTATTGTGTTTGCACACGGCCACCCGCGATTGCTCGAGACGGGAATATAAGATTGGGAAAAGAAAGATTTGTAAAAGAGAATCTTTATTTTTGTTCCTCCTTATATAGAGAGTAGGGTATTTAATTTTGTGATTTATATTATCTCAATTATGTATATAATTATCGAAATAATATTTTCGATAAAAGTCTCACGGTTTCAAGAAGGAAATATGATGCAACAGATTTATAGCATGTATTTTTTTGAAGATACTTTTATTTTTATTTTTGGAGCAGAATCATACCTTTTTTCCATAAGACTGCGAGATTCTCCATCATTCATAAAGATATCAAGGCAGAATTATTATAATTATTATAATTATTATAATTATCAGAAATCTACGAGAAATAATTTATAATTTAGTTTAATATGAAATGTATAATAATTGTAAAAAGTATTCGCATTTCGATAACTTTAAGTTTTTTCGATAAAAAGTATGAGCTGAATTAATTTATATAAAAAAATGCATGCGTTTAAGAAAGTATCTTGCAAGTGTACTTTTATAAAAATAGAATCACATGAATTGAACCTGTTTATTATTAAAGATATTAGCAAATAATTCAAATAGTGCAAATATATTACGCAAGATTTTATATCTCATGTGTCAAGATAAATTATAAATTTCATAAATTGATTTTCCCGGATAATTCTATTTTAATATTGTTCAATTAATATAATAATATTGTTAATTGTAATTCTACTTTAATTTTATATATGATAAGAAAAGTCGATTTATCTAGGAAAAAATATATATAATCTCATTTAAAAAATAGAGAAGTAATTTTGTTGGTAAACTATCCTATAACAAAATGTCGATATGATGATATTTAAATTAAAAAAATTGATGTTGCAAGAAATCTGTTGTCATGTTGCATCCTATGAAACTTTAATGGAAAAGATTTTTTGAAAATTGCATGCATAACAAATATAATTTAAATCACAAAGTTAAATACACTGCGCATGTATATAAAAGAAGAATAAAACAAAGATTCTTTTTTAGATATTTTTCCCTATTTTCCACGCAGACGTCTTTATAATATATTAGAATCTTTAAATAAAATATATACTAAATGCATTATTCACTGTGTTCCGCGAATACGGAAAAAAGGCAATTTCGATCGGAGATCAATCTTGTTTTTTATACAATATACTAAGAAGAAAAAAGGAATACCGTCAAGTTATCTAGCGATCATTTTACGTAAGGTATTGTAAGGAATAGCTCTGTTTAATAAGCGATTGTCTCTAAACGTGGGGATTAATTCAAGATTGCCAAATTGTTTATCGAGGTGTTAAAGAGTAACTTTCTCTTTATATCAATTAATCGACCAATTAACGCTATCCAAGGGCATTCGCAAAATCGGAGTCTGCCGGTCTTGACTCGACAAACTTTTCAAGTTTAAGAAATCATAGGAATCTATCGAATCGAATAATGTACCGTTTAATCGTATAAAATCTTGTATTCAAACGAATAAATAATATTTAAATATGTATTTTCAACAATAAAATCAAGAGAAAATTGCAACGGATATCGAAATAGGTGGTCTTTTCTTTTCTTTCTCAAGTTCAGATGTCTAATTTTCCAGAGAAATAAATTCCAAAAAAAGTCATCTTTGTCTTTATTTTACACAATGTCGAATTTTAATCTTCGATTCGCTGGACCTCTATTATTCCTTAATATGATAATAATTAATGAATGCAAACTCACGTTGTGCAACTTGTAGTAGAGCCCGCAAGCGTTGCAGACCGGCTCGCCCGCCTGATTCCTTCGCCAGAGGGTCGTGGTCGCCGTCTTGCAGTTGGCGCAGCTGGTGCCCGCTCGTCTCGCCGCACTCTGCAGCGACAGTTTTGGAAAAGAGAAGACACAGATATCACACCCGTCACGTCAGCGTTTCAGGTTTTGACGATCGTCGCGCGATCGTCTCTTTCTCTCTCGGCTAAATTTAACCCGAGTTAATAATGCAGTCACGTTATCTCGCGCTATTAAAGTTTCCTCCATTGATAAGGAAGATATGAGGAATGTGAAGAATCTTACACGCGATAAAATTCTGATATATTAATAATAAAGAATCTATATATAAAAATCTCATCTCTCCTTTAGATGCTAGAATTAGATCAGCTGATTGTCAATAACTCGTTATAAAGTTGCCTATCTCAGTTATCCTTATCTCGTTATGTAAGATACTATTAGAAAAATGGCGAGGAAGAATCTTATCGCAATTAAATATTGATTAACTTCGAGTCTTCCTTCATCCCGTCAACTGTCAAAAAAAATCACACGTGTCAGTTGTCGTAAAAATGCGCGCTCACCGGCAAATATTTTTGTATCATTTACGCATAAACGGGGAGAATTCGTCTCCTTCTAAGCCGTGAATGAAAATTGCGCCATACGAGAAGGGATTATAAGACGCTCGGAGTAAAGTAGTACCCTATACAAGTGTACTCGAGTCCATCTACTCCCGCATTCGATCCGTCGGCTTACGAGCGGAATCAAAAAGCCACGGGCTTCAACCCCCTTCCCCCCGAAAATCCCTCCGGATCGCTCGCCTGGATAGCTCGGATCGAGAGGAACAGGGGGCGAGAAAATCAAAGTGTGCGTAGAGCTTAACGCGAGAAAAGTCTCCCATTCTCGAGAAAAAAAAGAAAACCCCGGCCCCGAAAACACCTGTACACCTCGTCGACGCATACGAGTGGCACAAACACTTAACGAAAAAGGAAGCGGATCCATTTTATCCCTCGGGGACTAACCGCGGCTTATTCTCCCCGAAACGGCGCGCGAACGTGAGCTGGAAGATGGAGAGAGAGGGGGGGGGGGAGAGAGGGAGGGAGCACAGGTATCTCACCGCCGTTGAATCTGTATTATAATACCCTCTTCTCCGGTTTACACGTATCTACCTTTCACTTTTATCCTCGTCCTTTCCCTCCTCCCTCTGCTTCTTCCTGCTGAACCACTTAACCGTTAATGGACGATACTGTTACCGAAAACGGTGCGCCGCGGGTAAATTCCAAGTGCGTCGCACAACATGTACGTCTGGTCGAAACAAATTGGACGCTGATACGACGAGACGATATTATTCAAGCCGTCTCGAGGCTTCGAATTATGATAGCCGAGTAGAGATAACCCATACACCACGGAACATTGTTGTAACATAAGCAATATTACAATATTGCTGCAATGTTACAATAATATCAATAATATTGCTCCAACATTCTGTACTGCTGTAACATTTTAATATTGCTATAAAGCAATATTAAAATGTTGCTGCAATATTGCTGTAATGTTACAACAATATTAAAATGTTGCTGCAATATTGCTGCAATGTTACAACAATATTAAAATGTTGCTGCAATATTGCTGCATTGTTACAACAATATTAAAATGTTGCTGCAATATTGCTGTAATATTACAATATTAAAATGTTGCTACAATATTGCTGTAATATTACAACAATGTTCTGGATAAAATGATGGAAAATTATTTCCATTTCTTGATTTTCTCTCCGTCGAAAATATTTTTCCACCTCTCGTATTTTAATATAAAAAAATGTCAAATGTGGTACATTTTATTAATACGTCATATTATTATTTAAAGCACCGGGACACCCCTGACGATCGTTTCGGCGAGATAAGGGACGGAGAGATAAGGGATGGCGCGCGCGCGAGATGTTTCTTTTCTTCGAGAGGCGCCCACCTTTGACCCTCCGCTCTCTCCCGTTCACCCCCTACTCGCAAACCACTTAACCCCCCTCGAGATGACACTGCACCCCGGCGCTCGGGAAGGCAGGACGGCCGAGTATACCTGCCTGCCTGCCTGCCTGTCATTGTCGGCGAAAGCACAAAATAGAGGAACCACCCTCCCCGTTCCCCACCCCGTCGCTCGCATAATAGCGAGCTTATTGAAATTTCTTTGAGCGAGAGGGATAGCTCTTTCGCGTGCATCCCCTTCTCCCTTTGTCCCGCCCTCCCGTACGTTGCGTCGCGCACAATGAGCTCTGAGACAGTACCAATTCTCGAGAGAAAGAGAGAGAGAGAGAGAGAGCACCTCAACGAACGTTGCGAGAAAAACCTCCCCTTTTCAAGCGCGCTCTCGCGTCTCGTCGTCAAATTCAGGGACTCGTGTTCGCGAATCGGTGCGTGATCGAGTGTTTCCGAGTCGCTTCTGCCCGCGTTTATTGTGCAGCGAGTGGAAGAAACTTTCGAAGATCGGGAGATAAACACAGCGCAACTGTCAACTGCATCGGTTGCCGTCGTCTTCGAAGACGGTTCAAGATTGACGAAAACCTTCTCGTCTCCCCCTCACCTCGCAACAAGCCCATCAATCGTCGCGCGACGAATTCACGATATACGAATGGATAGGAAAAAAAAACCCCATCCGCTTCCTTCGATCCGTTTTCTTTTCCCGACGTCCATCGCGAGAACGGACCTTTGTTTATTTCCCGGGAATGAAGCACCGAGGGTCGACAGGTGAAAGAACGGGAGGCGAAAGGAGGGACGTACGGTGGCGACGGTGTGTAATCATGCCTTATCTGGCGGATCTAATCAACCCTAACAAGGGGGCGCGCAACAAAGAGAAGGGGGAGGAGGGGGTGCGCCCGGAGAAAACCCTCCGTCTCGGAATCGATACGCGGAGAGCCACCTCATCAATATAGCCGCGCCGCTATCTGCTCTAGATCTTTGACACTCTCGCCCCCTTCGAAGGGAGGCGAGGGGGAGGGTGGACTGAGACACCCCGAAAATCGCCGGCACCTACCGGCCATCACGCGGCTAATGGTTATTAAACGAGAACGCGGGGTTTGCCGAGTGTTTCCAAACCGGCGAGTTTTCAGGGGAGGAAGAGAGAGAGAGAGAGGGGGGGATTATTAGCAAATGGAGAATATAATTCGACGACTTTGTGGACTTTGGACTCGGCTTTCCCGTGAGTTTTATGATAAAATTGCAAACGTCGATTAGAATTTATATATCAATTTATAACTCAATTTAAGTTACCTATTTAATTCGGTTATAATTAATTTATTTAATGCAATTATTAATTTATTTAATGCAACTATTGATTTATTTAATGATTTTATTTAATGCAATTATTGATTTATTTAATTATTTTATTTGATGCAATTATTAATTTATTTAATTATTTTATTTAAGGCAATTATCAATTTATTTAATTGATTTATTTAATTCTGTGATAATTACGTTTTAATTCAATTTAAATTATTTACAAACGACTGCGGGAAACTTAATTGCATTTAAAACAAGACAAGTCTACTCCGCACGTCGCTTTTATATCCGAAGGATTATTCCTTCTGCGCGATCTCTCTCAAGGTATCGCCGACTCGGTATGCGAGCGTTCCCTCGTACAAGAGAACGACCGGTCTGGCACGATCGTGCACGCATTGCTGGGCGATTAGTATCCCCTGAAAGTATCTCGCTCGCAAGTCCTGTCGCGGGACACACCAGGAGGAGTCTGGACCCCGGCTCTCGCGGGGACCTCGTCCGATTTCGAAAGAGAGCTGGCCGATTCCGGCCTCGCGTCTCTCTCTCTCTCTTCCTCTTCCAATATCGAATTTATTAATTATTCCACGAGATCTCCCTCTTCCTTCTCGCGAGGAACGAGCCCCCCGGTAAATTGCGTATCGGGGACTCGCGCTTGGACAATACTTTATCATCCCGCGCTTGCCGGGAACCGGTTGCCTCCAGAAGGCAGAGCCCCGGACACTGACGGATATGACATTTCTGAAGTTTCGCGGCGATCTACGTTTCTCTCGTTCCTTTATTCCTATTTTATATCTCCCTCCTCTTGCTTTCTTTTTCCGTTGCCCCCCCCCCTCTCCCCAACCGTCGTCAGTCTTCCTCTGCCGTCTTCCTCTTCTTCATCTCCTCCTCCTTTTCTTCACGGCCGCTTCTTTCGACCTCGCGTTTCCTCCGCTCGTTTTATTTCGCTCCCTGCCACCCCGACGGCGTACATCGACTCTCCTCGACGTCTCGAGGAGGGGGGGGGAGAGAGGAGGTGAAGGAAAGAGCTCTCCCTCTCTTTTTTCGTCCATCGGCGAATCGTATCTTTTATTTGCCATCGGTCTTCGTGCCTCTCTCGAGCGAGCGAATGAACGAAGCGACTCGGAGAGAGCACGTCATTCTCGAAATTGAAAACTGGATTATCGGCTTCGACGTCCGGTCCGACAGCCCATTCGACGGGCGAGCCGTGTAGACAAGTTCGCAGGTAGACCCCAAGTCCCACGCGTTTCTCTCACGACCGGTAACGAGTCATAACGATTCAATTAGCCTGCGATAATAGTCGGGGAGCATCGATTAATCGTCTCGAGTTTTGAAAATAATAATAATCAAAGTTGCCGAGGAGGAGGGAAAAAAATGATAGAAGTTGTATGTTGTGTCGCTTATCGCGATTTATCCCTTATCCTTAACGCGCTCTTAATCCCGAGAAGCTTGAAACGAGAGGGGACACAAGTTGGCTACCGATATCGATGCGAGGAGTTCATTGAAATCACGAGATCCATCCGCCGAACGGATCATTACGCGTTATTAATTAGCCTGATAGGCTGATTAATGACCGGACTCGCGATAATATACAACTACCACGCGATCCTTGGCGCTTCTCCGGATGAAGAAGCCATTCGAAAAGATGCCGCCGATATGTTTCAATAGAGCGCTATTGGAAGCTGGTTCCAACACTGAGAAAAATCGTCTGATTGTACCAACAAGATGTATATGATTGAAGGCATTTTGGTTAAATCAAACAAGAATTTCTAGTTATCCTGATAAGACTCGATTTTTTATAACTAGAACGTTTAATAGATTTTACTATAAGGATTTGGTTAGTATTTTCTGATT